TCACTGACAAAAAAATGAAAATATCATTCTTGTCAGTGTTCAGTATAGGCCATTTTTAGAACAATGTAATGTTCAGCCTAACTGTTCTATTGTACAGAAATAAGGGAGGTGATACATTCAATAGTTTGGCTGAATCAGACACTATCCTCAAAAAGGAACTATTAATGATCTTACAAACAGCATGGAGATGTCAAAATTATTCATTCAAGTGAAATGGATATGGTCAGTTCACACAGAATTCTCACCTTGCAATTTTCTCATCTGGAGGTAAGATTGGTAACAGAGCAAAATCTCCCATGTATGATTTCAGGTAAGTGTAAAAGTAATCAGGAAAAGCAAATCCTCGCCATTTCTGTATGTATTCCTCGGCTGAGTACCTCTTGTTGGGATCTTTGTGTATCATATGCTTCACTAATTCCTGTAAAAACATAATTAAAATTTATATATAAACAAATTTTATTATCTGTAAATGCTCAAATGATATATATTTTTTTAATGAATATGCATTTGATGAAATATGATTAAATGTTATTGTTGAAAAATACAAAGTTATCTCCACATTGCTTTTTTTAAGAAGTAAGCTTACCTTAACATGTGGAGCCTCAATTTCATTGATTTTATCAGGGTAAAACGCATCATTACGGTATGCTAATAGGGTAGATAGATGAAATGGGGGATGACCTTCTGTAAATAATTCAGCTATAACACACCTGGAAGTAGAAACAACAAGTATTTAATCTATATCTGATGTCAACAAACCATGCATGGCACAGTCCCTGTTAGTTATCAAATTTAAGATTTATGACACAAACACTCAAGTTTCAGTATAAAATATTTTATTGGCATAAGGGACGCTCACCGCGTCCCACCTAAGCTGCACTACACAAGAAAAAACAGCGAACATAACAATAGGCGATACACACTGCATGGTGACACGGTGAGCACCCAGACATGAAAACAGTAGAATAATCACAAAGAGAAATAAATATTTAACTGAAATAAAAGCATGTAAAACGACATTTTTCAAAAAACTATACTAGCCCTCAAATATGATATTGTTAGAATTAGTAAATGTAGGTAGAAGCAGTGTGACTGCCACTACAGGTAGAAACAACATGACTGCAACTACAAGGTAGAAAAACAGCATGACTGTAGCTCTACAAGAACAAGGATTAGTAGATAGAGGTAGCTCTACAGGTAGAAACAGCGTGACTGCAACTACAAAGAAATCAGTTAGCTATGAGGTAGAAACAGCGAGCACTGTAACTACAATGACATGAACAATGAGATATGAACCAGTATTGAGGATTACAATGTTTATCAAAGCCCCCAAACGATGCAGTTGACCAACTGCAGAGAGATGTATTTATAGTTTTGTTTATAGTAATATAGTTGGAACATAAACATGTCAGAGATATGGCACTAGAACCGCATTCACTAAAACAAAATGGCCACAAGTCACAAGACTATTTTGAATCTGATCTGAAAAACAAAATGACCTTCGTCAAGGTCTTATAATGTGCAAAATATGTACCAAGTTTAAACAAAATCCATCTGTGAACTGCCGAGATCCTGTTCCAAAATGCCAAAAATGCTTGATTTTAATGATTTTTCATCACAAAAACGGTTGCCATTCGGCCATCTTGAATCAGATTGTGAAACAAATTGATGTGCATACGTATAATATT